AAAACTAGAGAGCAAGCTACAGTTTCAATAAAGGGTTAATAAATGGGTGCTAGAACGAACAGATCCCACTACCACTAACCGCAAGCTACAGTTTCAATAAAGGGTTAATAAATGGGTGCTAGAACGAACAGATCCCACTACCCACTAACCGTCCATAGTCGGTTTTGGGCATGATAGTTACTCCTGAAGCCATAAAAATAGTGTGATGTCATACATACTATTAAAAGGTACAATAATATTACAAATTACAAGATATCTAGCAATACAAAACTTTTATTTTATGGCTACAATAATTTTGAAATTATTAAAGTCTTTAAGTTATTTTATAATAAATTTTATAACTTATTAAAACGTAAAAACAATTTGAATGCAATTATTTCTAAATTGAAATATTAATTTTCTAGAGGAAACTAGCATATAAAATATTAATATATAAACTAGCGGTATTTATAAAAAAAACTTTTAGTACATCTGGATGAGAAAGACTGACTTCAGGCAACTAAGCCTGGCTCATTTTACCCAGGTTTGCTTGAAATATTACGTTATTGTTAAGGGAGGAGGTAGAGGTACAAGAACTATAGAAGTGGGTTTTATAGTTTAAGACATCTTATCTAGAATTTACAAATATCAAGTATTATTACAACTTACAAAAAATATGGAGACTAGGTGATAATGTTTGACAAAAATTAAGGGTGTCATCAGATTTCTGTTTTTACGTCTTTAGTAGTAATTATCATACTTACAACCGGCTATAGACTGTGAGTGGGATTTGAGACGTTGTGGATCCTACCACCAAAATCCTAACCCCCTTATTGAATCCGTAGCTTGTTTTCCAATTTAGTATCTATTGTTTCTATTATATGTGATAGACAGAATATACCCAATAATTCTGAGTGCTATGGCCGCAGCCATTTTCACTTTAAATTTTTACTATTTATAGTTTGCTATCATCAACTAGCGCCAGAAGTGACTCGATATTAATGGTAAAGTTTGGTTTGGTTTGTTTCGAATTTCGCGCAAAGCTACACGAGGGCTATCTGCGCTAGCCGTCTCTAATTTAGAAGTGTAAAACTAGATGGAAAGCAGCTAGTCATCACCACTCTTTTACCAACGACTAGTGGGATTGAGCGTCACATTATAACGCCCCCACGGCTGAAAGGGCGAGCATGTTTGGTGGGAAAGGGATTCGAACCCGACCCTCAGATTGCGAGTAGAACGCCTTAACTACCTGGCCATGCCGGGCATTAATAGTAAAGATAGGGAAATTAAAATATACATATGCAGGAAATAACATGTATTACAGAAGTTTTTTTATACAGATATTTTTACTGTGTATCATCGAGGATAAATTTAATCTTTGTTATCAAATAAATACCGAAACATACTTATAAATTAATTGTATTCGTACGTCCTGGAGTATGAAGATTTCATAACATGAAATACCCGAAACTTTTATATTGAATATTTAACATTACAGGGAAAGTTTGTGAAGATGCGAGGCTAAGATTAATCTCACTATCCTTGTTGTAATGAAACTGACTGTGTCAGATATAATACTGAACATCAGAATGAGTATCACAAACCATGGAGTTTTTAGGGCAGTACCAGATGAGGAACACGGTCCTTAAAAAGTTTTATTAAACCCCTGAACATGTCTCACTAACGTTCGGTTGGACTGTGCACTGCTAAATAAACTGTCTTAGGCTAATTATGGTAGTATTAATAAAGTAGACACCTAACGTGTTCTACTGGATTTTGTATGACTAAAAGAGTCTAGCAGAAACAAGTTTCTTAGTTAAACTTTATCTTGGTGTTAGCCTTTACAATTGAGAGGTTTAGTATTGATGTATGCTACACTTTAAGAAATTAACGTAAAACAGTTAGGTTAGTTGAAATTTAATTAGCGAAATTTAAAAACAGAATGTTATATGGAGAAATGGCTAGCCCAATTAGGTGTAGTTTAAGATAGGAAGTAATATTTCATGAAAACTAATATTAACTTTAGGAACTGTAAATATTTTACATTAAAATACATCTGTATATTAACAAACTATTTATTGCAAGAACATATCATGCATTTGTTTATTGAATAAGTTTGTCCCTTATATTGTTTTTACTAAATTAGATCCAAGTCTGGCCAGTTATTCCTAATAATGAAAGTAAGATTATCTCGCTGGTGGCCACACATTTAGATTTTAGTATTTAACTTGTAGATGTATTTTGAATAAAGATTGATGTCTTTAACTCGATAACAGTTATGGACCATTTATCTAAAGGGTGTTATACATAATAATTAAAATATGTTTTGTTTTCAAGCCTTATTGAAGTAGTGTTTGTTCAAGGTATATGTTCTCTTAACACTCACATAAAGGAAACATTCTGTGGAAAACGAGTTGTACCTTACAATAGCACTAGAAGTTAGGTCCATATTGTTGAACGATTCGCACAGTTTCAAGGTTTAGCTAAACCCATTTTTGTATTAATTATGTATGACAAATGCATAATTCCCTACTACTTGTAAAATAGCCCATAGCAAAGTCATGAAGCCACCATTACAATGTTATGCCTTATTTTAATCAGAAAAAAGAAGCATAGGATAATATACGTTAGAGGGCGGGATGGTTAACATTTAGCTTTTGAAAGCAGCCACCCATCCAAAACATTCACGCCACTGAAGTGAACACCTATATCAACATTTTATTCAAGCAGAGTCCTACTGGGAGGGAATAAAGATCAAAATATCGTGGGTTGTGTCATCCGTCTTCTTTTGTCTGCCGTACTACATGAACTATACTTGTACACTTTCTCCCACTAAGACCAATATAGCTAGTTTCATAAAATATGGCATTATTAAAGAAAGTAAGGTTAAGAGCTAGAAGTGTGCAATTCAGGTTAATAATACATATACAAAAGAAAACCTTTCTGGTTGAGGGTATAGAAATGAGGACATCAGAAGAGGAGTTTGAGCGTATTTTCCAATAGGATTCAGAAAGGTAAAACCTCAAGTGAGGACACAGGGGGAGGGTGGAATTACACATATAAAAAGTTTTAAAAGTTTCAGAGCAGAAAAAGAGAGAACTGTTATGAAAACCATTTAATTATATAAACAGACAGAAAACTACAACCGTTATCTTTTGTTTTGAACACTGTAAAATTGTTTGCTTCATACATCAGATCAGACTTTTTGGGTTTTAAATTGCCTAAACAAAATGTCCCCATTACCAGTAAAGGAGAATCATTGATTAATTTACAGTTTAATAACAACATGTTAAAGATAACTTTGGTAAAGATAACTATGCTGTTAAATATCACATATTTCATACTCTCTCTCCTTCAGTGTCAAACAAAAATCGGGAAATATGATACATTTAGCTGAATCTAAAACAATTTTCTGTTCGTTTTTCTCCTTTTTTTCCGATGAACCACGTATACAATACTGTCTGGTTCTTGATAGCTTATAGCCGTTTCTCTGGATTTATTTCACATTCCTGTGTAGAGATGAGATGGGAACATTTATCCTTCTGTACAATTTTAAGATGACATTTGCCCCTGTTGCTTCCTTTTTCCTAGTCTTACTAATTTCAGTTCACATACATCAACCTTCTTTACTTTCTTTTTCAAAACTTAGAAAACATTGATGACATTTTTCAGTTGTCTGAAAATGTTTTACTTTTGTGATATTCAATATGCAGTACACAAGCAATGTCGAGAATGCTATTCAAGTAGATGTAAATGAGCCTATACTAAAATATTATTTCCAGTGTTGTAACTGAAGACTGGGGACATATCAGGTTTTTCAATGTTGAAAATTAACTTTAAAATTTTATTCTTCTGTTTTAATATCTTTATTACTTAAAGTTTACAAGTAAAATTTAACTTACTTAATATCATGAAAAGAAATTCTCATATTAAGCCCAAATTACGGTGCATGTTCATATCGTGGCATATTTAACAAGCAACGAACTACTTAACAATTAGTAAAAGTAACTTCAATGTCACCAACAGCATGTGGATTAAAATGATGGAAGTCGTAGTCTTCTATAGGCAAGAATAATAAATTACAATAATTTTACAAAATTGATAGGAAAAGAGAGAGAGAGTTAAGAAGTCAAAAGTAGTTTTTTTTTACACATGTATTAGCTTACATGCTGAAGATTATTCTCATATGAACAAACACAGAATTATGAAAACAATCGTTACATATTAGAGATAGGACGCTTGTAAGCACTTACCCTGAATAGTTTTTTACAATGTATTAGTGAATACTTTTCAATAGTTGTGCTACACTGTAATGAATTTACTATACAATAATAAGTTTCTTATGTAGCATGGAAAACAAAAACACAATTATAAGCTTTCCAAATGCTAAAAACCAAACTGATCAACTGAGGCCTAGATGCATCAAGAGGCGTTTTGCCTTGAGGAGTATTCATTATCTGACAATCTGGATGTGTCAAGATATGTTCTGTCACCAGAAATATCCATCCTCTGATAACTTGAATGTGTCTAGATATCTTCTGTCATCAAGAATATCCATCCTCTGATAACCTGGATGTGTCAAGATATGTTCTATCACCAAGAATACCCTTCCTCTGATAACCTGGATGTGTCAAAAGTCTTTTTGTTACCTCGAATATCCATCCTCTGATAACCTGGATGTGTCAAGAGACTTTCTGTCACCAGGAATATCCATCCTCTGATAACCTGGACGTGCCAAGAGGCATTCTGACAACAGATAATCCTGATGACGTAAAACCTCGACGCGTTTAAAGTTCTTTCGTTTAGAATGCCAATTAGTTGTCAATATGAGATTTTTACAAGAGGTGCCATGTCACTAGAATGCCAGTGATCATTATTCTTAATGAGTCAACAGGTGTTCTCTCCTCAAGATTACTGATGGGTGAGATCTCGATATGTCATGTGGCTTTCAATATGATACAAGAAATACAAAACAGACGTGTAACAATACCTTGTCAGCTTGTCTTAGGCAGTCAATTCTTCGCATTTTGCCTTTTTGATCCGGGTTACTTAAAACGCACGTTGGCCACTTCTTCCCCGTAATGCCCAGAACAAAGTCTTCTCGGCATTCCTGAGCTACATCTTTCCTCAATTTGCCTAACAGACGAGAGGCCCACTTCTGTTTCACCTCTGACCGTTCATTCTGTAAATCAACATATGAGCAAGAATAAGATAATAAAATACATATATTTGATGATTATCATACATAATAGATAAGTACTCTGTAAATTTACAGAGTTTTCGAGTTTCATCTTTAAGTTCACTATACACATACATTTATATATAAAGTATAATCTGTATGCACAGAGAAAAGGGAGGAGAATAATATACCAGATTTTAGATGCCTTCGATTGTTTACAAGTCGTGGGTTTGTAGCTTCCTCCTTTGTAATATTTTAATTCTCTTCTTTTTTACTTTGTTTATTGTACAAAATATTTTGTTTATTAGATAGTGCCAGGTATAATTTCTGAGATTTTAAGTGTGGAAGTAATTACAGGTAATCACACACACACACATATACACTACTAAATTAATAAAGCGACAGAGTAATCATTTCCAAGGTATATAGTTGTTTTTCTATTTTGGAGCATTTTTTTAAAATTTTTAAACAACTGCATGTATGTCTATATGACTCATTTTACTATGTATACAAGCAATAACGTGTTTTTGTAAGTTATCACAATCAAGTTTTTTTTTGCGTTTTCTTGCCAAACTAGTAATATGTTATTTTACGTATTCTGACATGGTTATTGCTTTATTCTTGAACTAAAAAAATTAACCAGCACATAAAATGTTTTTATCTTCCGGAATTATTTAGAAATATCACTCCTTTACGTTGGCTGGAATTCTTGGTAATCGGAATTATTCCCTAACAAATAAAATTTTGCACGTATACTGGTCGCAGGTCTTGTTTTATCAATAAACTGTAACACAGCCAAGACAATGTGTCATGTAAAAAAGCAATAGTTTACTGATGAGATAGCTTGGGTAGAGGAATCACTGCAAATGGAAAAGAAAAGTATTTCAAATCTTAAAAACATATTTATATACATATCTTATTCATGAACTTGTTTTCAAAACAACATGGAGTTTTTTTGGTCTTTATTCTTTACCATTACGTTTAATCAAATGAAACCTTTTAAGCCTCAGCCAATTGTTAGAAGTATAACGTCTAGCCAAACAAATCTAAAAAAAAATATAATCAAGTTTATTCGAACTTCCTGCTTCCACTGCAGCAAGTAGACTGTATATTATTTTCGATGATCGGAAACACACATGACACCGTATTTAAAAGGCTTTATTGCATTTTAATAGGTTGACTAATATAGTATTTCATCCTTTGCGAACAGGCTACAAGCCACTACACTATGATTGTTGAGTTTGATTTGTGATGTCAGTATATGTCTATCAGTTACATAAAATCACAGCGTTAAGTTTTTAATGTTACAACCGGATAAGAAGGTATTCACTTCTACGTCATTTTGAATGAAAAATGATGATATTTCATAATTATAGTATTTTGGCATTTGTGTATAAAGTTAAAATCATTAATAATATTC